ATGAAACTTTTCATTTCATTAAATTATTTATGGAATTTACTTTGAAATGAATGTCTCAATCCACTTGAAACTTCTTAAGACGATGTCAATCTACTGATTTAAGCACTGTGAGCACGTTCGGAAAGTGAGTTGATAGTTTAAGTAAACTTTTAGCGACTCGTGATAATTTACTACTGGATAAATTATTTACAAACTAACGTCTTTGGACACTTATCGTCAATATTTGCTGGCCAAATGTAATTTATTCAGCTGCTCAACAAAAGGCGGAAATAAACTTTCACTTCAATTTAAAAAATTTATCACTTGGGATTTCACAAGCAATACGTTACAGATCATCATTTAAAAATTGCATGGAACATTGTTTATTTACACACAGTGCAAATAACATGGTCAATCGAATGATTGACAAGCGCGACGTTTCGACTCTTGGCTAAGACCTCGAGCCTGAATGAATCAGTTAGCTCATATATTTGATCCTCCAAAGCAGTGTTTTACAACGCGGGCCACTGCTTCGTTGCGTTTAGATGCTTGGTGGGTGGTATTCATATCAAGAAGCGAAATGATTGGGAAAGAATATCTGCACAGTGCTGCAGAAGCTTCGAATGCCGTGGATCGCAGCCTGTCGTATTGACTCTCTACGAATTGAAGAGCAGCAGAGCACTGTTTGTAGCAGTTATCCATATACTAACATACTGCGGCGTATGAGACCATGTTTTAAAGTCTCTCATTGAGGACATGATTAAGCAAGCCGGAAAGATGCGGTGATTTGACAGGTGCATTACGATTTAGTTAGTACCTCATAGGGGACCCGGTCTAACTTACAGACGATTTCAGTAAGGTTTGTCCTCAGTTAGCTTCGAAGTCTTCGCTGCTCAAGAAGGTATGTCGTCTTTCAGCACAGGCAGAAAACTGAACAGTATTCATTGCAAAACTTATCACAGTTGCGTTGCAATCATAATAGCGGAAACGGTACTCTTCGTGAATAGAAATAATGCTAACATAATGCAGACAGAAAACAAGAATCCCAGGAAATCAAACTATCTTATGCTGAACATCATGGCAAATAAATTAGCTTATCCACATTTGAGTCTTTAAAAAAGTGCAGTCAGGAAATAACAGCTGATTTTCGGTATAGCTCCTTTCTAACCATATCTAGAACTGCATGTGGATGCATGGCTTTGGCGGCACCTTGGGAGGCTTTTATGGATGTGATGAAACGCCTCCCTCAAACATTTCTAAAGGACGAGACGGATATTTCAAAAAAAAACGTGCCATCTTCAGAAACATATTCATAGGCATACTTGACCATAGTTCCCCAATGGAAAATAGCCAGAATTCTCATTTCAACTTTTTGGCTATGCAAAATACATAGCGCATCACAATGCATTACAAGTGCAGTAAATACATAGTCAACATGTTCTGCTGAGATAATCACTACTACAGAAGGCTCAGAACCTCACTCAAATGTAATGGTCTCCATGATATTCACTCAGGCACTTCAATTTGGTCAAACGTATTTAATTTGCAAAATATAAGTTTTACTCAAACATGTCAGAACACCACAAGTTCGTGTTGAAATACACTAAAGCTTCGGTCATGCGAGGTACATCTTTTCGCTGTGTTTTAGCTTGAGGAGTGCTCCTTTTCCATACGGGAATGTTTCATATGGATGGCTAAAATTTAAAAAAAATAAAAGCAGACCTCTAAGCTGAATGTATTTATTAACTATGAAACGAGCAAATAACCAGGATTTAAATTAATTATTTGAACAGGATAAGATATCATTAAGAAATAATGTTGGCTTTATAGTCGGGTCACATCTGCTTAGATGACAATGCAGCAGCATTCCAGACATAATGATGCTATGCTATATTCTGTTTCCTTTAATTCATAATTACATTCAAGTGCCTAAATACAACACTGATTTGGCGTTCGAACAGAACTGTTGGTTTGGGGTCTCTGTGAATTTAATCAGCTCTTGATTTGCTTTATTATACTTCAATTCCGGCAATTCGCCTCCAGTATCACTGATCATAAGGCTATGATTGAATTTCTTCAAGAACCAACTGGGTCTATGTATCTTTTATTGATCGTGTTAAATACCTTTCCTGGCAGTCTTGGTCTCGATTTTTGTTCGCTAAGTAGTTCAAGTGAATTGCAGTTCAAGGTCCAGTTTAAAGAGACCTTGGATGATGGCTTCCGGAGACCGTATGCACTCATGTTATACCTCATAGGCAAGACGAGAATCAACCACGATCGTTTACGTGCTTCACAATTGCAGTTAAGAAAAAATTGAGTCTCCATTAGTACACATACAATATGTACTGCACACATCTCCATGGTCTCTGTCTATTCTTCTGCCGTTAATTAAAATCCAAATCATTCATGGCATGCATAAATCATTTTGAAGGACGATGGGATTCTGATTTAAATTTTTGTTCCGAACTGACAACCGTTGCTATGCGTCATGAAAAAGGTTAAAAGGCATAACAATAAAAGGAATGACTGTTGTTTTCAGTTGATTTAGAAATTAAAAAGACTTGACACTGTTTGAGGAATCGGTTTCACATGAACATTTCATTCCATCCTCTGATCTTCTCAGGTGGGAACCGGAAACACAGCCAAAGTTGATCAAGAAGCCGGCAAGCAAAATGGATGAATAATGAAGAAACATATGTATCATTCGAGAGGAGCTTTTTTTCCACTGTTCTTGTATATGTATGCATTCTTCCAGTACACCTACGCAGCGGCGGCCATTTTTCCTGGGCTGCAAGCATGTGACTTTAAAGCAATAAGGCGATCGCTGAGGCTCGCTTCAAGACTCACTGGTCTTCTCGTAGATGACATGGTATTGCAAGTGACTGAATCAATAGTGCCGCACGGTATCCGCTTGAGGAACAGCCTCCTCAACTGCCCAATCGAATACCTCGCTCGGAGCTTGTCGCGCACCACCAACACCGGATTTAAGTTTGTGATCAACGCTTCCGGACGGAGCTTTGCCGGAAGACCATTATCTCAGTCATAGGGTGCCAAAGGCTGTAGTACAGTGAAGCAGCAATATCTGACGACGTTTAAAGGTAATATAGATCCTTTTTGATGCAGTCATTCCTATCTTTACCATGTCACGTTGGTGATGATGATGTTATACTGTAGCTATAGTTATGCAGTGTACTTTCATTCATGCGGTATATGATGCTCATTATCAAAAGCGTTAAAAGACGGAGGTTGAATAAACAGAAAAATGAACAAACTGTATAATACAATAGGGAAGGATCTGCTTTACTAAACGACTCAAGGCGAGGAGTCTCATTCATTACAGATGTTTGCAACTGTATTCTTAAGGTCGATGGGGCAGCTGGATCAGAAGGTTTTTCCGAAGGTCCTGGTCCTTCAACATAGGGTAAGCTCGGATAGATGGATTGGGCCTGTCTCTCAATATTATCGATCTTGTATTTGGTCTGCCTCTTGGCCAACTCTTACGTGGCTGTACCAAGAGTCTTCGTCGTGGCAATCTGTCAGGGGTATCTTTATTACACGTTCAAACCATCGCGGTTGACACGTCTTGCTCTGGAGAAGGACCGGTCTACAGGTCAGGGTATCTTGCAGTCGGCTTGTTATGCTTGGGAAGTCTCGTCAACCTTGCCTCATCGACGGTGTCTGACTGTCTGTTGTAC